AGGCCTGCAACAAGGCTGCAGGCAGGGAGTTACCGCGTTGGGCCTGGCCACTTCATCAGGCATGGACCAATGGAGCGGGCGCTCAGGACCTTGTCAGACCTGTGAGGCAACAGCGATCTGAGAATGGGTGAGGTGCAACTGATCCTGGTCACGTCGCCAATGAGGGTCCACCTGCCCGCCCACCTGCCCGCCCACCTTTCCACCTGCCCACCTTCCCACGACACGACACGACACCGCCCAGTGCCAGTGCGTCCTGCGTCCTCTGGTGGGCAGGACCGTCCTGTGGTCCTGCCCCCCAGTCGGTGGTCGCATAGCCCGCTCGCCTTGTCAGGCTCCTCCCTCCGTCACATCCCACTTCGCCTGCCACTTAGTTTCGTCAGGTTACCTGTGAGCCACCTGCATATGCTCGTTTTCCGTCTGTTCCCCTTCACATCCTCCTGTGCTTCTTCCTCCTTTTTCTCCCAACATTCACTCCTCCCATCAGCGGCATAGCATCTGGAATCCAATTTTGCCTGCATCGTAGCGAACCGGACCGTTGCTTTCTGGACCCCGCGCTTTTGAACAACACTTACTCATTTCACTACTCTCTAACCTTTCCTTACACTATCTCACCCCGCCACTTCTCTTCAACCCCTCACCTCCACAGTCCAAGTGCGGACGATACACATACTTGGCAAACCCTCGTGATGAGCTACGACTACGAGCCGCGTGAGCGTATGCGCCACTATACGCGAGAGGAGACTCGCATCGAGCGAGGTGATCCGCGGGCGTATGCTGACGAATCCTACCTGAAGCCACACTCCTCCCGCGATTTGGTGCCCCGGAGGCGAGAAGACAGCGACCTGTCGGTTGAGGATATTCGCCGCGACTTCCCTCCCCCAGGCTACCGGGATGCTCGCAGGACCCGCTCGGCAGAGCCTGGTTACTATGACGACTACCGCGACGACCGCTCCCGGCGCGGCGACTACTACGGCGACCGGCGCACCAGAACAGGCGCTAGTGTCTACGGCGAGGAGGAAGAGGTCCGCTCCCGCAAGCGTGTTCTGAATCAGCAAGAGAAGATCATCGCCGCCGTCGCCGGTGCCGCCCTAGCTTTTGGCGGTAAGGAGCTGTACGACCGTCGCGACGCCAAGGAGCACGGCGGCGACGTCGAACGCAACTACTTGACCTCGGCTGCCCTCGGTGCTGCCGGTGCTCTCGCGGGTTACCAGGGTGCCGAGTTTTACAACAAACAGTCCAGCAAGAACGACAAGTCGCCACAGGGGCAACTTGTAGCCCACCGTGGCCGCGATGGTCTCGTTCACGAGACGTACGTTGAGGAGGACGACAAGAAGGGCTCAAAGTCTTTCCTCGAGAACGCTCTCGCGGCTTCGGGCCTGGGAGCAGCTGTCAAGGCCCTCACCGGCGGTAGCTCGGACAACAAGGATGACAACCGAAGCCGTGGCCGCGGCAGCCCTGATCGCGCCTCACGATCGGGCTCCAAGTCTGGCGGCGGCAACGAGAGCCAGGTCGCAAAGGTGCAAAAGGCCGCCATGGCATCTCTCATTGCCGGCGCCACCGAAGCATTCCGCGTGGCCAAGGAACCTGGTGGCTGGAAGGGTGAGAAGACAAAGCGAATTTTCACGGCCGCTGCTGGTGCTGCCGCAGTCGATGCTGCTCAGGACCGCGAGAAGGGTAGCAAGCTGGGCCTTGCCGAGTCCGTCATTGGTGGTCTCGTTGGTAACCGCGTGATCAACGGCTCCAAAGGCAACATTGAGGCGGACGAGAAGACTGGCCGCAGCAGGTCCCGGTCTCGTGCTCGATCGCGATCCGGTAACGACCAGGGCAGCAGCGGCGTGAGTGGTCTGGCTGCCTTGGCAACTGCTGGTCTCGGCGCCCTTGGTGCCAAGAAGGCCATTGAACACCACAAAGAAAATAGGTCGCAAAGCCGCGGGCGCAGCGCCGACTCGTTCGACAGCCGCGACAACGATCGACCCCGCGCGCGTAGCCGCAGTCGGAGTGTCGTCGATTCGGCGCGGAAGAAGCTTGCCAAATTCGGAATCGGCAATGGGACCCGACGACAGGGATGGCGACAGAGATTCTCGACGTGACGACAGCCTCCAAGACGACAGAAACTCGCGTCGGGGGCCGAGACGGTATTCTGATGATCCCTACGATGACGACTACGACCGGGGCTACCCGCCGCCCCACGGATCTCGCGACTACAGGGACCATCCAAGGGACCCCCGAGACGCCAGGGACCCCTATGACGACGACAGGTCGTACGCCAGCAGCCGACGTAGAGACCGCTCGCGCAGGCGATCTCGGTCGAGCGCGTCAGGCTCGGATCTGGGAGACTCGGACGATGATCTGAAGACATCGAGAAGAATGAGAGGTAAGCAAGTTCTCACAAGCGGCTTAGCAGCCGTGGCCACTATTCATGCAGCGAACGGAGTCTATCAGAGTATGGCGGCAAGGGAAGCGCGTCAAAAAGCTGTCAAGGAAGGCCGCTTGAGTCCAGAGGAAGCCAAGAAGCTCAAGGCCAAGGCCATGCTGCAAGATGCTGCCCAGATCGGCCTCGCTGGCCTGGGTATCAAGGGCGCAATGTCACAGCTCAAGACTGCCAAAGACAAGCAAGCCGAGTGCAAAGACTGGGAACACCAGCGAGAGCTCAGACACCAGAAGCGACTGGAACGCCAAGGCCGATCACTCGACAGCCGTGGCAGGAGCAGGGCTGACGACTGGTATACTCCAGTTTCTCGCAAGGGGACCGGTATGACTATGGACCCC